GTGATAGGTTGTCAGCAAGGCACCTAACCGTTTCACCTTGACAAGCTGGACCCAGTGAATGGTTAACTCACAAGATAACTGCCATAGCTAAACCCAGCATAGAAGATGACGGGCCAGCCAAGGTACTTCAACGACCTAATAGCTCTTGACAACATATTCTCCCCTGGAGACGGCTGCCACAACGACATTCTTTGCAGGTATGTTTTGTTGCTTCCATAGACCACGATGCCACTCTCAACGTTGACGGCAGGTTCGTTCGTGACATCTGGCGTCTTTTCCATCGGTTTCTCGTCTTTCGCACCGGCGACCGGCGTTTGGCTGCCACTCGCGGTCTCGACTATTCCCACTGTTAAGCGTGTGTAGTTTGTCTCTTCCATGAAGAAGAAGCAAAAGATCAGAGCCACGCCCAGGAAGATTGTAGGCCAATAGAAGACCCATTTCCAGCCTTGGTCATCGGCGATGAAGCCACAGATGACGGGCGCAAAATAATTGCTGCCAGCGAGGAAGAAAGCGTAGATGCCCATGTACGTTCCTCGCTGGTGAGCAAAGTACACATCTGTCACAGAGATCTCGGGAAGGGCCTCGATAGGTGAAGCAAAAAAACCTCCCACAATATTTTTCGCAATCCATACCCCATTACCCCGGGCATATGGACCCCACATTGTGCAACCGATTGTTCCGCAGATGGAGAGGAGATAGGTCAGACGCTTGCCGTATCGCAAGGCGAATGGTTGCCAGAAAAGCAAACCCCAGCCGGCGAGAAGAAACAAGTATCCCGTGCCTTGGTTCAAGGTGCTAATGGAGACCCCAGAAGCTTCAGAAAGTGGAACAAGCACCGAATAGACAACAGAGTTCGCAATGCCAACCACCAAGGTGTAACTGATGCCAGTCAATATATTGACGGACAATAACAAGGTAGTTATGAGACGTACACATTGACTGTTATGGTCAACATGAGTTTTCGTTTAGGCGACCAGTTCAGGGGATCATCAGGATCGTTTGAAGGAGTGGGCACCAGCACGATATCTTTGTCCCCGGATCCGGCATGTCGGGTATGCATGGTATGTTCGATGTCCACGAGGTGGACTGTCCCAGGGACTGTGTCAACGGGCAAGTCGTAATGCGCCATCTCGGTTTAGACTGTAGAAGCCCAAAGATGAAAGGAGAGGAGAGGACGAACAGAGAAGTGAGGAGAGTGGAAGAAGAGATTCGAGTTGGTGATCTTCATGGGATCGCCATCATGAGGGTAACACTGACTTATGAGTCCGTGCTCCCACATCGCAAAAGTCCGTGCGAGAAGTTCTACGCCACGCCATCTCCGCGTACCAGAGATAGAAGATTCGACGCGCAATCTCGTCGATAAGAGCTGAAGTTCCTTCGAAATAGGCCTAGATGGCCGGTTCTCGACGTGGACTGAAATGATAAAGCCTATGAAAGCACATTGTAGAAAGATAAGATACTGGGATCTCCGCATGTGGTCGGTTGTACCGCACGGATGTACCACCTGGTGCACATGGTTAACGGTGAGGTGGTGGCACGACGATCATGTATCGATGCAGGGGCCGGAGCTGGAGACGAAATAAAGTTGGTTGCCGTTGGAGATAAAACATGCAGGTCAATGGACGCACAGGGACAAGCGCGGCCTCCTGGTACATATTCGGCAGACTGGTGGTGACAAGACTTGATTTGGTGTGGCCAACTATCTTCCTCAACATGGACGAGAGTCGTCGGAACCTGGGTCGAAGAGATTGATCTCCCGCTGAGATATCGGGTCACCGTGGCATCATGAACCCACAAGGCTTCTCTCTCGCACAGTTGCAGGCTATTGTCCTGTGGAGTGGCGGGGGCGCTTGGTCGTTGTCGACAACCTCTCCTGCCCGTTCAGGCAGGGCTGGCTTTTCACAGAGTCTGACTGCCACAGATTTCTGCTGGTGGCTAGTGTCCGGCCATAGTCCGAAAACCTGGTTGCGCTATCCTGTATGATTGGTGTCTGATTGGGGCGGTGGGTTAAGACGCGGCCTTCCCATTTCAAGATCTTAGCCGGAAGCAAGCATCGCGCAATTCCGTGTGATTGACGTTTCCATGTGCTGGTGGAGGAAATGATCCTGGTCGTCCATACCCGAATGGGATCTAGAGGAGTTGTCATATGGCTGAAAGGTACTGTACCAAGAGACTGAACGAAGACTGAAGCGAGACTTCCCTTCCCTGTTCCGACACCCTCCAATATCAGTGACTATCCGTACAACTTCCAAGCTTCCCCGCTTTGAGGCCCGTCCTCAGGGAATCGAGAAGAGATAGAGAATATATAAAGCTGCACACTTCCATTCACAGATACAGCCCATTTTGACCTTGTGATAGTTATATCCTGATTGTTTGGCCGATTTCAAGATGGACCAAGATTGGAGAACTCTGGTTGCAAAGAAACGTGCCGAGGGAGCAAAAGCACTGCCGCAAGAATGGCGGTTGCCCTCAAGCATTCTGGAATCCGTCAATGCCGATGCCGATATCAGCGTCCTCGACGTTCCTGCAAAGTGTGGCCTTCTCACACCAAAGGAGCTTGAGATCACCGAAAAGTATGATGCTGTGGATTTGATAGCCAAGATGGCCGCAAAGGAGCTTTCTTCTTTTGAAGTCACCCAGGCCTTCTGCAAGAGGGCGGCTATCGCCCATCAAGTGGTCAGTAACGGCTCCACATCTCCAGTCGGTGGTCGCTGAGACTTCAAGACGAACTGTTTGACAGAAATTTTCTTCGACAAGGCTCTCGAAAGAGCCAAAGATCTCGATGAATATCTAGCGAGAGAAGGTAAGCCAATGGGCCCGTTGCATGGGATGCCGATAAGTCTGAAGGTACGGTGGAGATCTCCCAACGAGTCTCATTGCTCAACGCTCAGGTTCATAGGACTCCTTCAACCTGAAGGGCACGTATTCAACAATCGGCTATGTCTCATTTATCAACCGACCCGCAGCGGACTTCAACTCTCCTTTGGTTGACATCCTTCTCCAGAATGGAGCCGTGCTTTATGTCAAGACTAACATTCCACAAACGTTGATGACGGCCGACTCCGAAAACAACGTCTTCGGGCGCGTGCTGGTAAGAGTGATGGCTCAGAGTTGCAAACCCCTGGCTTACCTGCTTCAGAATCCTCACAAGCTCAAACTCACTGCCGGTGGTAGTAGTGGTGGGGAAGGGGCCCTTATCGGCATGCGAGGCTCAATTCTAGGCGTGGGGACAGACATTGGAGGATCGATCCGAATACCTGCCTTTTGTTGCGGGACATTTGGGTTCAAGCCGTCGGTTGATCGGATTCCCTTCGGTGGCCAGACCAATCCGGTCCTAGATGGCTGGACAGGCATTATACCAGCGGCAGGGCCTTTGGCGAGAAGCCCTCGTGACTTACGATTGTTCTTGGAAACCGTCATCAACTCGAAACCTTGGAACTTTGACTATACGGCCCTCGCGATGCCATGGCATCCGGTTGAAGAGAAGAAGACTCTGACGATTGGCGTCATCCACGAGTGTCCCTCCTGGCCTGTGCAGCCACCCATCCGGCGAACATTGAAGACCGCAACGGAAAAACTGAAGCAAGCAGGCCACAGCATCGTGATGCTCGAAAACTTTCCCTCGTTCAAAGAAGCCACGGAGCTGTCGTGGAGATTCTTCGACATTGATAATGAGTGCACCGGATTCAAACATATTGAAGCCTCGGGAGAGCCATGGGTCACTTCGGTCAAGGATATGTACACACCGCCGCCTGAAGGTCGACCCGACAAGACACTGGGCGATTTATTTGACATGAACGAACAGCGTCTCAAATTTCGATCCGAGTGGTTGAAGCTCTTTGTAGAGAACAAGTTGGATGTTATTGTGGCACCAGGATCGCACAAAACCGCTGTACCTCATGACACTTTCAGAATGCCGCCGTACACTGTCATGTTCAATCTCCTGGCGGTAAGTGAAAAGCTGATTTGGGTCGGTACCAGGAAGAAGGCTAACAATTCGAGCAGTATCCTGCTTGCATTATCCCATATCTCAAAGCAGACAAGAACGTCGACCTTCCGGACCCAAGGATTCCAGACTGTGAGTGGCTGCTCAAGAGCAGGTTGCAAAGGCATTGGTCTGACATAATGCAGATCTACCAGAAGCTGTCGATAACGCGCCATGTCATATTCAGGTCATCGCGAGATCTGAACACGATGAAGAGCTAATGTCGGCAGTGGAGTTGATATCCGAGGCCCTGGGCTCCCTTTGATACTGCGGAGTCCAAGACAGGCAAAGGGCCGGCGCGGATGAGGGCCAAGATCTGAGTCGAGGATGGTAATGTGGCAGTCCCGTGCTGAAAAGCACATCTGTATCCGGGGCGACGCAGAGGACGCTGAGCCACGACGAGGCGCATCGATCCAGATAGTGGTGGTTCATTCGACCATCAAGAGACAGAATCCCATCGTTTCGACTGGACAGGCGTCAGGTGCAACATGGAGGCTATCTTGATTATCATGGCCGTTATCTATCGTGGTATTCGCTGTGGAAAACGTCCTCGTCCAAATGTGCCTCTAGGGTCTGGGTGTGGGTAGACGAGGTTCCGTAGCTCCGCAACAAATTCCGCTTCTTCCTCCTGCAGAGCCGAAGCCCTGGGTCTGTTAAGTGGGCGACAGACGGGCCAGTCTCGTCAATGCGGGGTGATAGCCCACATCCTTGGGCCTAGAATTCCAAGCGATTCGATCTCAATGATAAGAACTGAAGATGGCGACTTCAGCTTGCCTTTCGGTTTCACCCAATCCAACCTGTACTATCTGGCTTCCTCTTGTCGCATTTCAATGGACGTCTCGAGAATATCGAACCGCCCGCCATGAGATGTTGATCTGCACATAGGCTGCGCAAGCCTATCTTTTGGTATGGCACCTCAATCCACTGCCACTCTGCGGACGAAGACTGGATGTCTGACCTGTGAGTGCAATTGCACCCATTGGAGCCGACTGCAGCTAACAGACCCCTGGGTCGCATGCGACGGAAAAAATGCAACGAAGGAAGGCCTCGGTGCGAAAAGTGCATCAAATCCAACCGAGTCTGTACTTGGCCTGCCGAAGACGATCTGTTCGATCGGCGGCATAGTCGAGCTTCGAGATCTCCGACGTTGCCGCCGCCCGGGAAGTCGCCGGAAAGCATCGACGTACAGGGGCGGCTCTCGAACGACATCAAAGACAGCACAAGAGCCGATGCGTCGCCATTCTTCATATGCCGCGAAATCTCTTTCAACTCGGACCTCTTCAATTCGCCAGTGTTCAAATCCGACCTTGAAGTTGACTGTTTCCGGCACTTTCTCGATGGGTTCCTACCACTCCTCATCCTCTCCAACACACATCCGGGATTTCAGTCCCAATTTATCCCGGAGGTGGTGGAGATGCTTCTCCAATTTGAGGGTATGAGAGACATTGCACTGGCTTGTGGCGCGTCGCGTATGCATCTACTCACCGGGAATGTTCAAATGAACGAGGTGGGGATCAGATACTATGCCCGTGCCGTCTCTGAGGTCAATCGCTCTCTCAGCATGATCGACTGGGGGCGGGACGATTTCAATGACGCTCTGTTAGTGGCCATCATCTTTCTTTACATCCACGGAGTGAGTTCCCCCCGCTTCATTCAAAGACGCCAAATGATCAATTTGATTGACCGATGTTGTATGCAAACAGGTGTTCAGTATCGGGACCAACAAAGACATTGGGAAACATGTGATGGGAGCGATCCAATTGATGAAACTCCGATGCACCCATTCACGCAGACCGCCAATGCCACGCCCGATCCATCGGATCATCTGGGAGAGCATCCTTTATCAGGTCTTTCGGCAAACAGTCAACCGGCCCTTTGCAGTAGACTTCCAGCCTGATTTTGAGTTCTGTGCACGGGCGGAAGAGACGCTGCAGTCGTTGACCTTCCCTGATGCCTCGGCAGCCGATAATAGTCCCGTGATCGGTTTTCCTTTGGCACTCCAAAAGCTGATTATCGAGATCGTCCAACTCTGCAAAAGTCCAGCGAAGCCTGAGCCTGAATTACTGGAAGTCCTTGGACGTCAACTGGGGTACTGGGAGCAGACCATCCTAGAAGAGGGGCACTGCGTGAACGAAGAGGACTCGTGGTTGACGAAAACACCGGCTGAACGAGCTCGCATCTTCCACCAACACTCGACGAGCTTGCACATTCTCGCCGCATCACTTCTTCTGGATTGGGTCTCAAGATCACATGAGGTGTACGAGACTGAATCTCCGCTTCCACCCGCGGGCGATACATGGCAGGTTCGCAGAGGATTGGAGATCATGCAGTGTCCGCAAGCCAATGAGGAATGGTCGAGATGCTACCTGGGGTCGTGGCCGACCTTGATATTTGGGTACGCTGTCGACAAGCCTGAGGACATTGCATTGATTCGAAACGACTTGAGACAACGGTTCCACAAGCTGTATTCGGGGGAGGAATTGCTGTTCCTGGAGGAACTGGAGTCAGTCTGGCGCACAAGGGGGGTGTCCTATCCGGAAACATGAAATGGGGGCATGCCCGCCATATCTCGTAGTTTATGGGGGGCGGAGGTGTCACATACAGTTTGCTTTGGTACCTGAGGCAGGGAATATGGATGGTTTGCGGGAATGGCACCTGAATGAACGCGGGTCGCGTCGCCGCTCGCCATCCGCTTGTTGTTGCCCTCGCTGCTTTGACAGCCGAGCAGCCAAGTGATAGTGTCATTAGAAAGGCGCCTCGGCAGATCTCGACGGAGATCCACAAGCATCTTCCTCTCTCCCGCCCTCGTCTCATCGTCCTCCATCTGACCAGCCGAGTAAAGAACCTGACTGGCTTCCCGTTACACAAATGACGCCCATTGCTCTTGGCTACTCCTCCCGTGTATGCGCAAGCCAATGAGAACACACAGCTGTCATCGCCGCTTGAGAAAGACGCCCCCAGATGCTCAAGCGGCCAAAGATGGAGGACATGGGCACATGCATGCTGACAGTTGTTACTTTAGTCAACACTTTCCTTGCCGAAACCTGAGGGGTGCCACGGTTGCGATGCTGTGCCGTTGCCGTCGTATTCAAGATGATTAACCCCTGCACCGGTCATGGTGATTGCGAGGCACACCAGTCATCTCTGCCCTTATATTCGTCGGTTTGTCTGCCTGCCCTAGCAGCGAGAGCTTTAATTGATTTTGCATTCAAACTTCGACACGAACGGAAAGAATTGACACTCGCCATGGTATAAAAGGGGGCCGTTGTATGCCTCTCCATTCCTGCTCTGTATCGACATTCAGATCAAGAAATTTAATGGTTAGCAGGAAAAGAAAAATGGCGTTCTTCCAAGCTGCTTCCTGGCACGAGGGAGAAGTCGCGATTCATAAACGAACTCGTGTGGGCGGCTATGACAATCCGACTTCACCATTTCTCACCCCTCGGGCTGCGAGCATGATCCAACGGTACCCCATGATGGCTATAGGAACGCTCGATGATGATGGCAGGCCTTGGTGTACAGTCTGGGGCTCCGACCATCTCCCAATCGCGCAGCCGGTGGCCCAGAGCGTCATGGGTGTCCGCACCACCGTCGATGCAAGCTTCGACCCCGTTGTTCAGGCAATCTACAAAGGCAAGGACGACGGAGAAGTGATACGAGAGGAGGGCAAAGGGAGGCTCATGGCCGGCCTTAGCATTCATCTCGAAGAAAGAGGGAGAGTCAAGGTGGCTGGGCAGGTCGTTGCCGGTGCCCTAACCGCGAATGACGCCGTTGCGGATAGCAGTGAACCGAAGGACGATCTGCAGTCAGGCAAATCGGGCGAAGTCCAGCTCGTCGTCAAGATCGACCAAAGCCTCGGCAACTGTCCAAAATATCTCAACAAGAAGCACGTCGTTGCCGCTGATCCCAAGCCAAGACTATTGTCTTCTTCACCACACCTCACTCAAAAAGCTATTGATTTAGTGCATAATGCCGATCTGTTTTTTGTCGCCTCCGCCCACAAGCATGAGGACATGGACTGCAATCACCGTGGCGGCCCGCCGGGTTTCGTCCGCGTGCAGCAGCCTACTAATGTGGACGAAGGCAGCACTATTGTGTGGCCGGAATATAGTGGGAACAATCTTTATCAAACGCTCGGCAATCTCGAAAGCACTCCTCATGCGGGCCTGGTGATCCCGGACTTCGAGACCGGTGATGTTCTTTATGTGACCGGGGACACCGAGACACTTGTCGGGGCCGCAGCGAGCAAAGTCATCGCAAAAAGCAATCTCGCGGTAAGCCTGAAAGTGACGGCGGCGCGGCTCGTTGAGAACGGGTTGCCTTTCCGGGGCAGACTGATGGACGATGCGTCTCAAGGCCGCTCTCCCTATAATCCGCGTGTACGATACTTGACCTCAGAAAAAACAGACGCTTTCGGGAAGACTCCGGGTGACGGACCACCTACCACCGCAAAACTCATCAAGAAGACAAAGATCACTCCAACTATCACGCGATATCGCTTCGCGCTTGCTGATCCTGGAATATTCGGCCCCTGGAAGCCAGGCAAATACGTCGCGATGGATCTGGCAGCCGAGATGGACATGGGGTATTCGCACATGCGGGACGACGACCCGACGAGTCTGAATGATGATTACATTCGCACTTTTACCGTTTCATCTATCCCAAACTCGCTGGGCCTGCACGGGGAAGAATTCGAAGTCACGGTCCGCAAGGTCGGCAACGTCACCAAATGGCTAGAATGGCAGCGCGAGGGTATGTGTGAGATCGGCATTAGGGGCTTTGGCGGAGAATTCGTGTTCGCACCGCACTCCAGGAATGCCTTCATCGCCGCTGGAATTGGGATCACGCCTTTACTGGGACAGATGGAAAGCCTGGATCTCGACCAACTAAAGGTCAGCTGGAGCGTGGGGATCCGTGACGTCGCCTTGCCTTTGGACGTCCTTACGCAATATCCCAGACTGAAAGACTCACTCACAATTTGTCTTACTGGCGACGAGTCACTGTTGGATGGTGATGGTGGAAAGGAGAAGGCGAAGTTGCAGGAGTTACTTGACACCGGTGTGAAGGTTCTGAGGCGGAGGGTCACAAAGGAGGATTTGGTGATTTGGGAAACAGAAGTGGACAATTGGTATCTATGCACAGCGCCGGCGTTGAGGAAGATTGTGCAGGAGTGGATGCCAGGGACCACGATTGTTTACGAGAACTTCGACTACTGAGGTAGCAAGCAAGGTCGAGCCTGGGAGGTTTCTCCTTCTGTCTTCAAACCTCATCTGCCGTAGCAATGCCATCAGGATATAGACAACAAAAGTGTCCTGTGATAAAGATGCTGGTTTGTTCTGCGACGCCTTTGAGAACACATACGAAGCATCGCTCCATTATCCCAGTCCATCCATCCATCTCTCCCCTGACCGTGCCGGTCCCCCTTTCCTTCTCCGTCTGGGTCAAAAATCCTCACACCTGGCCACGAACAGCGCGACGACCTCGTACGGATGCGCCTTTCTCAACACCTGCACGGCCGTCCTGCACGTCTGGGTGCCCACGACCACCATCTCGACGCGATCCTCCTCGACGTACTCGACCTGCCCGGGCGCGCCGATGTGCGGGTTCGCCGCGGCCGAGGGCTTGAACTGGCCCGTCCCACGGCTGATGAACGCCGTGTCGGTGTACAGCGCGGGCCCGCCGTCGTCGTTCGGCCACGTCCCGGCCCCCGTCGCCCACAGCGCCGAAAGGCACGCCTGTGTGTTCGCGGGCGGTACGTAGAAGGTCAGCTTGTAGATCGTCTTGTCATCTGTGCTGCTGGTGGTGGCGGCGGTGGTGGTGCTAGTAGCTCCTGTATGGCTGGACATGGTTTGCAGAGAGCGTCCAAACACAGACCTCGCTGGCGATGAAATCGTCTTCGGTCGGTGATTGCGCGAACTCGGAAATGGGCAATGATGTCGAAATGCTCGGCACGCTGCTCTCGATGGTCGGCGTCCCAGTCGTAAGGTTTGGACCGTTGCCTGTTGAACGTGGACCTGAAGTGTAGACATTGGAAATAGGACGAGGTTGTGAAAGTAGGCAAAACGCAAACGCAACGGCAAGGGCCTGGAAGGCTTCACGGCACGTCAAGAAGTTACGAAGTCACGACCAAGTTAGCTCCCTTGAGCACGAGGGGGAAAATGTGCTTGTGTGAACGTTTTTCAATGCGGTTTCTTGTGGTATCTAGTTTTCACAACTCTGCCTTCCGTGATACAAAGAAAAAGGGAGAAGACCAACGCCCTTTTGCATGTCCGACCTGTTCTTCCGTAGGCCGAGCACGTCTAGATGCTTGTAATCAAGTCCTCAATTCATAACGCTGGTACAAAAATCATTCCAACCCACAGACGAGATATGACGTCCCGCTCTCACAGCTCATCGTGTCCCGCTGGCTCGTCATCATCATCTCCGTAGTCTGGCATGCCACCTGCACCACCAGCTCCTGCGTATAACTTGCTGCTAATAGGATATGCGACTTGAGAGAGCTTCTCGAATTGCTCGTCAAAATCGTCCTTGTCCGCGGAATCAGCGTTATCACTGAGCCAGTCTTGCGTCTCCTTGATTGCGTCCAGAAGAGTCTCTTTATCTTCGTCGTCGATCTTGCCACCGAGCCCATCCTCGTCATTGACTTGGTTCTTTAACGACGAGGCATAGTTCTCCAACTTGTTGCGGGCGTCGATTTTGTCCTTGATGGCGCGATCCGCCTCAGCAAACTCCTCGGCCTCTGCGACCATTCGGTCGATTTCGTCCTGGGTGAGGCGTCCCTTGTCATTCGTGATGGTAATCGACTCTGACTTACCAGTGCCTTTGTCGCCAGCTGAGACCTTGAGAATACCGTTTGCGTCGAGTTCGAAGGACACTTCGATCTGAGGGACACCACGAGGAGCCGGAGGAATACCAGTGAGTTCAAATTTGCCTAGGAGGTTGTTGTCCTTTGTCATTGCTCGTTCGCCTTCGAAAACTTGAATCAACACCACGGGCTGGTTGTCGGCTGCCGTACTGAAGATTTGAGATTTCTTGGTCGGGACGAGAGTGTTTCGGGGAATGAGTTTGGTCATGACTCCACCGGTAGTTTCGATGCCAAGAGTAAGAGGATTGACATCCATGAGAATGAGGTCTTCGGTGCCGGTCTCGCCGGAAAGGACACCACCCTGAACGGCTGCGCCATATGCAACAGCTTCGTCCGGGTTGATACCCTTGCTTGCCTTCTTGCCACCAAAGAATTCTTCGATCATTGACTGAACCTTGGGGATACGGGTAGAACCACCAATGAGGACAATGTCATCAATCTCGGATTTCTTGACCTTGGCGTCTTTCAAAACTTGTTCGACCGGCTTGAGCGTCTTCTTGAACAGGTCCATATTCAATTCCTCGAACTTGGCTCGGGTCAAGGTCTCAGAGAAGTCCTTTCCATTGTGGAAAGCTTCGATTTCAATTCGAGTCGACATTTGAGAAGAGAGAGTTCGCTTAGCTCGCTCGACTTCGCGCTTCAGCTTACCCATAGTCTTGAGGTCCTTGCGAACATCGACATCGTTCTCCTTGTTGAATTTCTTCACAAAATAGTCGATCACTCGCTGGTCGAAGTCTTCGCCACCAAGATGAGTGTCACCAGCGGTAGCCAAAACCTCGAAGACGCCATCTTCAATCGAAAGAAGGGAAACATCAAAAGTCCCACCACCAAGATCGTAAACAATGATTTGACTCTCTTTGCCCTTCTTATCGAGACCGTAGGCGATAGCTGCGGCAGTAGGCTCGTTGACAACACGCAGAACAGTCAAACCGGCAATTGTGCCAGCATCCTTGGTGGCTTGTCGCTGGGCGTCATTGAAATATGCTGGGACGGTGACAACTGCGTGGGTGACTTTCTTGCCAAGGTATGCCTCCGCGACTTCCTTCATCTTACCAAGAACCATGGCGGAGATCTCTTCAGGGGTGAAGGTCTTCGGTTTGCCCATAACTTCGACATTGACCACAGGCTTGCCATCTTTGCTGGCGACTTTGAAGGGGAAATGTTTCAGATCTCGCTGAACATCCTTGTCGTCAAATTTGCGACCGATTAAACGTCTGGAGGGAGGGGCATGTCAGTAAAGCGCAGGTACAATGGAAGAGGCCAGAAGATGCTCACTTGATATCAAAGATTGTCCTGGTAGGATTCGAAGCATATTGATTCTTTGCTGCGTCTCCTACTAACCGCTCTTCGTCGGTAAATGCCACGTATGAAGGTGTTATTCGATTTCCCTGGTCGTTCACAATGATCTCGACTTTTCCATTCTGCATCACACCGACGCAGGAGTATGTTGTGCCCAGATCGATACCGATGACGGTGCCATAGTTAGTGTCTGAGTCATTTAGGGGCGTTTGATCCTGAGCATTCACTCTCCCGATCAAGGCCAAGGGACAGACAAAGATGAGGAGGAGGTAGAATAGAGTTGTCCACTGCAGAGCAGCGGAAGAGGATCTGTGAGGCCGACGCTGGACGTTACCGGACGCCATCTTGTCAGTGAGGAGGGAGGAGGAGAAAGGAGAGGTAAGGAAAAGAGTGATGTGTTGGTGATTGGGAGGAAGATCGAAGAGGGTGGTGGAGGGAAATATTTATCCAGGGACGCAGTTATCGATACGCTGTCCTTTTCCACGATCTTGACTGGCGGGGCGGTACTTTGTTCGCCGCCGACACAATGGGCGCTTGGCCCCCCTGGTGCCCCCAGCCTTGGCGGTCAAAGGGCTAAGGAGGCGGCTCACCATGCTCACTAGGCTCACTAGGCGCACTAGGCGCACTAGGCGTTTGAACACGCTGTTTTGGCCCCTGAATCGATGCCAGCCTGGCCTCTATTCTCTTCTTTGCAGATCCAAAAAGTGCCACCACCTTCCATTCCCAAAAAGACAATCTAAATTTGCATTTGGTCTCCTACAAGTACAGAGCCAAACAGAGAGAGCCACCAGGGCCAGCCACCATGACTCAGGACGAAATCCACATGTACAAGTGCGCACGAGTGCAAGTCCTATTCCGAGAAGGCTGTCTCTTTAGTCTGCTTCCATACACCCCATCTGCTATGACCAAGAGTGACAAGACGCATCAACTCGCTATATGTTCGAATACCTACCCGCGCTGGACCAAATGAAAGGAGCACCAAAGGCGGCCCCTGTTAGAAGCATTACCAAGCACCAGTAGCATACTGTATGTACAGGGTACTCGGTACGTCATTCTTTACTACGCCATCCCCGCATCATCATCGCATAGCTTGCGTATTACCACATTCATGTTTTGAGCGACGATGTGTTTCTCTTATCCATATTACTCCGTCCATGGCATGAGTTTCGTCTTCATTCTGGTTCGATCACTCCCCTACAACAGTCGCTGTCTTCCTTCTTTCCTTCGCCTTCCATCTCAATTCCCACCCAGACCCTTCGCCGTCTCCCGCCGCGCCATGGGCTCTGTAGACACCTCGCTGCACCCCCATACATCGGGCCGAGCTGCGCGCTTCGCAGATGTACACTCGTCCCCAAACCCATTGATTCTCTACGGCGGCTGGTTCTGCCCGTTCGTCCAGCGCAGCTGGATCACCCTGCACGAGAAGAACATCGCGCATCAGTATTTTGAGATCAACCCATACCGCAAAGACCCCGAATTCCTCAAACTCAACCCTCGAGGATTGGTCCCAACGCTCGCCGTCCCCCTCGACAAGGATGGCAAGCAGCAAAAGCCCCTGTACGAGAGTCTCGTGATCTGCGAGTACCTAGACGAAGTATATAACGACCCCCCCAAGAACGGCCCTAATCTGCTGCCGAGAGAAGACGCCTACTTGCGCGCGAAATGCCGCATTTGGATCGACCACATCTCGACCAGGATTGTCCCCGCCTTCTACCGCTTCATGCAACATTCCGACTCCAAACCATACAGTCTGGAAGAAGCAAGGGCAGAATTCCTCACCCACATCAAGACCTTTGTTAAAGAATGCGACCCCCAGGGACCATACTTTTTGGGTGAGCGATTTAGTCTTGTAGACATTGTGCTCGCGCCTTGGCTGTGCAGGATGTTTCTTTTTGACGTGTACAAAGGCGGAGCAGGTGTACCCGAGGAAGGAAAGGGAGGTGACGATGAAGAGGTGTGGCAGAGATGGAGGAAGTGGGCAAAAGCAGTGGGAGGAAGGGAGAGCGTGTTGGACACTTTGAGTGAGAGGGGCCAGTATGTTGATGCCTACCGGAGGTATGCAGAGGACACCACGCAGAGCGAGGTCGCGAAGGCCACGAGATTGGGAAGAGGATTGCCATAGACAATGTGGAGAAGGGAGGGACATGCTGAAATGAACGGTCCATGGCTTTTTCCTTCGCTCCAGAGCTTCTGGTCCAGGAATCAATCCGCTTCTCAGCCGTTGACAAGTATTGGAGACCTTCTCGTATGCAAATGTAGAACAACCCCTGCCGAGCCCCGTCCATGTACGTCCCCAGCCTGCCCCGAGGCCATCCAGAGACTTATCACCGACCAACGCTTTTCGACCGTCTACCGCTTACCCTCTCCCCTCAGATCTCCACCAAGCCCATAACCCCTAATCTTCTCCCACTCGACCTTCTGCCTCGTGACGGGCAACTGCCGCCTTAAGGCCTTGAAGCTCGTCTCATTCATGCCCACGATCGTCCTATTCACCTCTTCCTGGTATTGTTTCTCGATGGCGGCAATTTTCCTCACGACACCATCACCACCGCTGCCGCCGTCGACGGCCACGTTTGAAAAGTCTTTCTTCGTTGACAGCGCGACATTGCCGTCTTCGTAGTAGTGCACATTCACCCTAATGCTGCCAGACAGCGTGTTCGCCGAGGGGTTGTAGAGAAGCGC